TACAGAAATCTGAAGTTTACTGTATGGATGCACGTGTCTTCACTATATAATTATATATATATATTATATATATATAAATACTACATGTCAATGTATGTACACACAGTATATATGTACACAGTGCCGCCACGGCGCACGCTTCGCCTCTGTTTAAGCTACGGAACACCCTGCCCTGGGCTTACCGGTGAGGAGAAATTGCAGGCGCACGAAAGGTGGCCACAGCAAAGCAAAGCTAGGTAGCATCCCACTAGAACCATGGATGCATAAGAGTCACACAGATGCTCAGTCCTCCTCATGAGCATCATGAGCTTGCGACCTTCATATTTTTTTTTGGCTATGTCGGACTGAGTTTGCGGTCATAATCTGGAAGTGACACTGCATTCGATATAATTCCATGACGGACGCACATCTATATCTATTTGCTGTTTTGTGGGCATTCCTTTCGTCCAGCCTCGCGGGCGTTTTTGAAGTTGACGTTACTAGTTTCGATTTCTGGGTCAGTGGACGAGTGGTTCGGGAGGGTTCTGCAAGTCGTGCGAAGTAGCGAACGGTGTTACGAATGTCCCACCAACGCCTCTGCCTGGAGAACTGACTAACGGAACTCATTTCAGCATCTTTCAAAGAATTCAAATGTTTGACACACGTCAATTGTTAGTGGCATTTCGCAAACTCTCTTGGGATTTTGACCTGAAAGGGGTAGTTACATTTCACGTGAGTTCGCGACGTCTCGCCACTTCGAGATTTCGACCCGGGAGCATGAGTGTTTTCCACGCAATGTTAGTATTATTGCTGCACTGCTATTGGGGAACACCCTCCAAACACAACTACATTCACGGCTTCCATACCATACCATATCACTCCGACTTGAAACTGAGAGGGCAGCATCAAGAGCATCACGGGAAGTCAGAAACCAGGCTTATCAGATACATCTGCCTTTGAGCTTCCTTCTCAATGGATATAACTTACACTCCACAGACCCTACAAATATGCTCCAACAAACATACATAAACCAGGTGTATCTGATACGCCTGGTTTGTGACTTCCCGTGATGCTCATGATGCCGCCTTGCTTTTCTTCGGTCCCTCACTACATATACATGCCCATCCAAATGCTCTTTCAAAATTCCGAGGAGTTGTTGACTTGGAGACTTTAACTAGCACTTGCTAA